TCCACATATACTGCTATTATCACAAACCCTTCGTTTGCAAATTTCTTTATGAAGATACATGGACTGATGGGATCATTTTTATAACCTTCTCTGACTAGGTAATCGCTTAATCTATTGTACCACATGCGCCCACTTTGTTTCAGTCCATAAAGCGATTTGTTCAGCCTTATGCAGTATTGGTCCCGAGACACTTTCTTATCTTTATCTTTGAGCTCAATACCCTCTGGTAATCTCATATATATTATCCAGTGGACTTCTATAAATATGCAGGCATTACATCCATTAGCCGCAAATCAAGTCTTTTTCTTTATATAGCCAGACTTAGCAAAATTTTAAATGTCTTAGCATCCACCACAGGGGAGTATGTCTCTTCATAATCTATCCCCGGTCTTTGTGAGAATCCTTGTGCTATAAGCCGTGCCTTATATCTCACGCTTTATTATTCTCATTTCTTTTCTTCACAAAGACCCACTTGTGTCCTACTGGTTATGGTCTTGTACCATTTTAATGATTCTTAGCTCCACGTTTTATGGTCTTGTACCATTTTAATCAATCAAGTCTTTGAGTGCACTCTAGTATAGACGTGGGCTCCTGATCCTCATTTATTTCAGTTGCTACTTTGTGCGCAAAATTATCTTATGTCGACATTTCTTATATGTTCCATTATGTTCCAGACATGATATCATCGATTGAGATTTATTATAGTCAGGACCTTTAATACTTTGCAGCTTGGCGTCCCAAGCTACATTATATGGTACCTGTACCTTAGAGCCGGCCGGCCTTATCTCTATGTCTGGGATGGTTTCCTTAATAACCTCGGTTCCTATTGCACCTTTCTTTAATTTCCGAGGATTTTATCTTTGGAACATATTGGTCTACCACGTTTCTTACGTGCGTTAGACTCTGTAGCAATTTCATTGATTCCCTTTTGGATATCAATACGTACTGGTGCATTACAAGCTGGTATGTACGATTTTGTAACTTTCTTTGGGTCAACAAAGGAATCTGGCAATTCATTAGCTAGCTTTTGCAAATTTATTATTTTCTGGACCTCTGATTCACATGCCAGAGTCCGAGGATCTTGCCAATTCAAGGATGTTTGATTCCATGATATTTCTTTTATATCTTTACCCAGCTTGTTCGTCTCTCCACCTAAAGTAGGAAATTCGGATTCATTAAAATGACAATCCGCGTATCTAGCCTTAAATAGATCACCCGTAGTTGGCTCTAGATACTTAATAATGGTGGGAGAATCAAATCCAACATATATTCCCATCCTCCTTTTAGGTCCCATCTTTGTTCTATGTGGTGGAGCAATCGGTACATATACGGCACACCCGAAAGTCTTTAGATGGGATATGTCTGGCTCATGACCCATGAGTAATTGGGATGGTGAATATCTATGTTCACTAGATGGCCTTATGCGTATAAGTTCTGATGCATGTAAAACAGTGTGTCCCCAAGCGGCTACTGGAAGCTTCGACCTCATGAGTAATGGTCGAGCTATCAATTGAATTCGTTTAATGAAGGATTCCGCTAATCCATTCTGTGTATGTACATGTGCTACGGGATGTTCCACACTTACCCCCATGGACATACAGTAGTCATTAAACGCTTGGGACGTGAATTCACCGGCATTATCTAGACGTATAGTCTTAAGCGGAAAGTCTGGAAAGTGGGCTCGCAGTCTTATTATCTGGGCCAATAACCTAGCAAACCCTTGGTTTCTAGTAGATAGGAGACAAACATGCGACCATCTTGTCGATGCGTCAATGAGAACCATAAAGTATCTAAACGTCCCACATGGTGGGTGTATTGGTCCACATATATCCCCTTGTATCCTTTCCAGAAAATTTAAGGTCTCTTTATTTACCTTAGCCGGTGATGGCCTTATAATGAGTTTCCCTTGTGAACATGCTTCACACGTGAGATTCTTAGGGATAACTCTTTTCTCTCTTAGGGTGTGCCACTTTGAATTAGTTATTAGTTTACGCATCATACTATGACCCGGATGGCCAAGCCGGTCATGCCATAAAGTGAATTTCTCGATGAACTCTTTGTTCATTGCCATATTAGCTTCGATCATATCGATTTTAGCATAGTAGAGACTAGTGGATAATGCGGGTATAGTCTCTAGGACTTTCTTATGTCCTTTGGTGATCTCAATTATATTTAGGAATTCTTTGTTCCCTTCACCCTTTGTTTCAATATGGAAACCATCCAATCTTATATCTTTAAAACTCAATAAGCTCCTTTTTGAGCTGGGTGAAAACAAGGCACCGCTTAGTTCAAGATGCGTGCCCTTTGATAAAAGTATATGGGCTTGACCGTGGCCCTCAATAAGACTAGCTATACCCGCTATGGTGCTAATATTGGCATTTTTCATTATGAGATTTAGAAAATATCTCTTGTCCTTTTAAGATCATGTGGCTTGATCCACTATCAACCACAAGTATCTTCTTGTCCTTAGTTATTTCTTATATGGACAAGAATCATGTTT